TACTGGTGCTTATATTCAATATTTTTATATTATGTTTTATCTGTATAGAAGAGGTGTACTTTTAGAAAAACTTTGTGCGATCGGACTGTACTAAATTGTAGCAGGTAGCTAAAATTTAATCCCCGACAATCCGTCTTTGTCTATGCCGCTTCAATTTCTCGGTCCATTTCTCTTATAAGTAAACAATATAAAAACAGCATTTCAAAACATGAGGCTACTTTAAGCATCATAACCGGGTTAAGAGGGTTTTTAGTAATTCAAATAAAATTATTCAATATTATTATCAAAATATTTATTTAAATTTAATGAATAGACTTTTATTCCACACAAAAATATATGTATTTTGAAAATTCAAATTATGGTGAGTAAATGTAGTGTTGTATAAATGTACAATAAAGAAAATAAAAAAGTAGGTATATTAAAATTCATCCTCTGAATATTCTGATGAATTATCTTCGTCTCCTAGATTGATAACGATAGGTTCCACAGTAACGTCAATTAAATTATCGAGTTCCCACATTTTCTCCTCTTCTTTTTGTACATGATGTATACATCTTTGCCAGTTATCTGCAGTTACTCGTTCCAAGGAATTTTTTAACAAAATTTTCACGTCACTTAATTTAAACGTCGTATTATTTCGCGCTACATCTCCTTTTACCTGCGCCCAGACTAATTCGATTGGGTTAAGTTCACAGTGATAAGGTGGTAACCGTAGTACCGTTATTTGGCGATTTGTTGCCATTTCATCGATAACATATTTTTTCTGATCTTTATTAAGATTGACAAGTGTCAAAAGTTCCTTTTTCACCATATTTGTTTCAAAAGAAATGTTTTTTCCGGATAACCATTGAATTATATCGGCTTTCCTCCAAGCAGTCGTAGGCGTCCGCTCGGTCTGCCGTGAATGGTAACTGGCATTATCCATGACAATTACAGACCCCGGAGGAATAAGATCCAACATCTGTGTAAAATACTCTTCGAAAACATCTGCGTTCATGTCTTCGTGATAGTCACCTGTATTTTTAGATTCAAATAAAAGTAAACCGCCATCTACAAAACCACTGGCACTACCTATATGTGTCACTATTAATCTTCGCCCTTTACCTGAAGGTGCCTTGAACCCTGTTGAAAGTCCATCCAAAAATGCTTGTCGAAAACTTTTTACATTTTTATCTTGCCATACTTTTGTTACAGTATATCCCTCGTTGACCCAAGTTTCGTCTAGATAATAAATATTCCTCCCTTCGTCACGGAATTTTCTAATTGATCTTAAGTAGGATCTTCGCCAACAAATAATTTCATCTTTATCGATAAGAACTGACTTCCTGTTCAGCTTTTTCCAGCAAAAATTCTACTCTCGTAAGACGGCCCATAATTTGCTTCTACTGATTTTTGGCAAATCGTTGTCTTCTGAAAGTTCACTTAAAATTTTGTTTAGCGTTGGTATTTCTTTTTTAAAATAAAATGCTGTACTTTAGTCACTAAACAGAAGGCGAATTTTACTCTACTGCACTAGCACGTCTTCGTATATTCAGCTCTAAGACTGGATTGATCTGTCACAATACACTGGCTCCTGCTATGATGTATCCAGTAAAATATACTAATTTACACCCATTACCTGTTAGCATTAGTGTTACCCGATAATTACCTGAAACGAAATATTAGCACGCCCATGGCCGGTTCTTATCTCGGAGTTTTATTACTCTCTTTCATTTCCAAACAGAGTATAGATATTTTGTCACCTGCGAAAAAATTTAAATAATTATGAAATTGCTCCGTAAGGATCAGCCAAGGACTGTTTTTTCACACTGGAAAAAACAGATAAACACAAAATTCAAAAAATACATTATACAGGGTGTCTCACGGTAACGGCCTACTAGAATTATTTCAGAAACTAGTTCGATTTGAATTTTGAAAATTTTGGATATCGGGTTTTCGGATAATATATAGGGTGTGGAAGTGGTACGTGGACGCAATTATTTTAGTTGAGAAAGGCATGCCCGAAAACCCGGTATCCCAAATTTTCAAATCGAAGTAGTCTGAAATAATTCTAATGGGCCGTCACCGTGAGACACCCTGTATATCGCGTACATTAAAAAGTTATCTTATCGAAAATCTATCTGTTGTCGTTTTCTGAATAACGACTTTTCGTTTTTAATTATTTCTGACAGTTTAATTTTGTTTATGTTTCCCTGTTTCCATAGTCAGAAATTTCATATGATTTTTGTTCTATTATTACTTAATTTTTTAGAATTACCACCGATGACGTACTGCAAAAAATGCGAAATTCGTACTGGGCAACCGCAATAAAAAATCACAGTACCACGACAAGTCTATCACCCATTCCAGGCTACTACAATCTAAAGATGGGCCAAATCCAAATAGGCCAATTGGCCAAACCTAAGGCAGACTTCCCCTACGGGACCTCCCCAGATCCATCAAGGAGTGGGATCGAACGTCCACTTCTATATTTTATTTAAGAAAAGCTAAAATTATTTTAAATCCACTCCTGTTAATTAAAACATGTTTTATACATTGTATTTCCAGATTTACTTTTGTTTTTATGTTTTTAATCAGTTCTTGGACTTGAAGTTGATTATACCGACGTTGTCTTCTGTTTTGTAATTTCCAAGAAGCACTATCGTGCGCAAAACCAGGGACTTATGAAATATTGCATAAGCCTTGGAGACATAAGTGGTTGAGTTCCTACATTTGCAACTTGAAGATCGCTTATATATTTTCAGATGCCATAAGTATGTAACTAAACAATGTTTACTGATGCAAAAATCTGCATTGAATATAATTGCTCACATTGGTGTCAGCTCCAAAAACATCAAACCTCTTTGGTTCTACTTACAGTGAATCTGACACTGGCTAATCTAATATTATATGTAAATGTTGGTTTTTATTTAATAATCGTATTGCCAAACTATGTTGACTAATAACATAATCATTTTAAATCCTTCATATTATGTTTCGTAGAATTCTTTCAATTTTTTTTCATAGAGTTTGACATTTGAATGCGATGTCAGTAACGTCAGTAAGAAATTTAAAAATAGTTTAATTTGTTGTTCATTTTCGGCACATACTTCGGGATATTGCATACTCAATATAAAAATTATACTACGATCACTGAATTGTACATATTCCAATGGAGTAACAATGATCAAGCTTGATACACGTGTAGCTGCGAAACTATTGGTCGAAACGGATCAAACGGCAATCCCCATCACAGGACGAACTTCCATGAATACAGGACTGGATTTTACATCGCATAATACTTTTTATTTCGTGCGTGTCATTGTTAATTTGTGAATTTGTTGTGGTATTATGTTGTTTTGGATTAAAAAATAGTTTAGTAAGAATACATAGTCGGAATATGGCAAGGAAATAACGGTCTTGATATTCTGTTTCGATTTTATTTAAAATTTTCTTCAGGGCTATAAATAATAATAAAACATAATAATATACATGCAATACTATAAAACTAACATTTATTCACATCACAGATTATAATATAACATCCTGAATTTTTTAAATACTGTGAATAATCGTATCTAAATCAACATCGTTAATAATGTTATCCATTAATTATGTATCCCATTTATTTAGTGGTGCAGTTAACATTTTATTCTAATCTTCTGAATGATAAATATAGTTGACTCATTTAATTGAACCCATTTTTTATTGTTAAGGCTATTTAAAATTTGTGATCGTGATCTTTTAAAATCTTTCCCTTTCGTTCTCCAGTTAGTTAGTTTGGCCTTCGTGAGACTGAAATAAAATATAATGCAATTCACGTGTTTAAATGTATTGTTTATTTAAATTTATTTTATTTTTTAATTCAGATCAGGAACATATTAAATTTTATATCTATTTGTGTTGGAAAATATATCTATTTCTTGTTTTCTGTTCAACTTTGCTATCTTTACATCTAGTTAAGAGATTATAGTTTCATAAAGATAGTTCGAGTAAATATTTCTAGACAGAAATTTGTTTTAAACGTTTCAACATCGCGTCCTAAATATTTAATTATAGCGATTTTGTTAATGATCAAATTTTTTTACCGAAATTGCCGTGTTGCCAAATAACCAGGTAGGTCTACATTTACTGAAGATGTAACGATTGCTATCAGATGTTAAATAAATGATGGTAATAATAATCTGACAAGATATTTATACTCGATATTTTTTAAGTCGGTTCAAGCCAGTAAGTCTCTGCAAGTAAAAAACTTCAAAACGTACTGTAAAACGTTTTTTATTTTAGATGCAAAATTCGTAATACATACAATTTTACTGGATGTATAATAAACATCCTTTTATATGTATTGTAATGTAATTTATTTGCTGTGTACGTTATTATGTAGGTACATATATAATTTATGTTTGTGTAATCTTCAGATGGGCAACAAGAAAAATCTACTTACCTTCTCCTGCTTAAATGTAGGCGCCAGTCTCAGTCTCAGTGAGTCTTTTTGAAATTGAGATTTCTTTCGACCAAGACAAATTCTTCTCAAAAATTAAAATTTGGATAATACAAAAAATTTACTAATTTTGAAATTGAAAACAAAATTTTCCACAAAGAAAAATTTGAAGGTATTTTTTTACTAGATGATGTTGCATATAAAAAAATATATTTCATTTTTTTAAATTTTAGGTCAATATTGCGGTCCTTTTTTGCAGCAAACATTTTTGTCAAAGGGGGAAAACACAAAAAGCAGTGACAACAGGCCATAAATATTTTTATGAGAACATTTCAAAATTTCTGATTCTAAACAGATTTTTTTTCTTCCTATTTTATATAAAGTTTAAAAATTTTGTGGAAAACCGGTAACACTGTATGTTGCCCTATGTTAGTAGGAAAAGCCAGAATAGTCAGCGGTTCTCAAGTTTTTTATTAAAAAATGTAGCATATTTATTTTAAATTTCCTATTTTTTTGCAAGAAAACCTATTTTATGTTATAGCAACTTTTGTACGATTAAATAATATGTTTGTTTCAGAATGGGGTACATACGAATCATCTTCAAGTAGCTCTGGAAATTGACGGAAAAGATATGGTGCTGGACTTGACGTTAAATAAACAGTTGATCCCTAAGGGATTCTTCCATAAACATCAGGAAAATGGAAAATATAAAGTACACAAACCCACAGCTCAGGTAAGTAATCTCACAATGCAAATACGATACAACATCTACGTCTAGACACTTATTTTTCATGGGTTGCAATTAGAAAAGAACGAAACGACATTTAGTACATCTAGATGCTATATCGACCTTGTTGTACTCAGTTTTAAAAGTATTAATTCAGTTCAAATAAAGGTAAATGTTGTTAGTCATATTCAATGATGCTGTTCCAAGGTATAATAGATATACGAGTAATTTTGTTCTATTAACTCTGAGACAATCCCAAGTAAAATGTGGAAACAGAAACGTTTTTTTATAGTAGCTGTTTTTTTATGTGATTAGTCTTTGTCAAGTGTGATGATAGAACAGTAAGAAACAATATATTTCTTTGAATGAATTTGAATTAGTTTAGTAAAAAGTAAGAGAGCTAATAATATGTGTTTGTTAAAATCCAGATTAGCCTTTGGAGAATATTGATGTTGAAATAGTCTGTACGTGACATCAAGAAATAAAGACCTAAGGGTAAGGAAATACCAAGGATATCTCGTTGATTGCTTCCATATCATCGTCGAGGTCGAAATCTAGGTTAGCGAAGAAATTATTCTCACAATATACTGCGGAATATGAACGTGTTTTTCTTTTAATATCTCTTGGTAATTGTACTTCGTTATCAAATCCAAGTTGATATCATAAATAAAACAAATGATGAAAATGGTTTGCTAGATTAAAAGTAGGTTAATAAGCACCGTCATAAGCTTTTATTTTCTTTCATGAAATACACCATCCAATGAAATAGTGCCACATAGCATTAAAAACCAGTCAGGTGAAAGGTTTGCTTTCTTTAGGAAAGTTAACTGAATTTCATAAAAAAAAAAACGAAGAATACGTTTCGTCTACGAATAACAAGGCATCTTAATTCTTTAATCTTAACATTAATTTTTTGTAACAATTCTCTATAAGTACATATAATCACTTTTTTAACATCCAATTAATCTTGATACCTACCGACCAGGATCGTTTGTTCTAAAACCCAGAACACTTTTGTTATTGTACAATATTCTTTTTTCAGTAACAAGTTCTCAAGGATAAACAAGGATGGGACGCCGATATCTTTTATTTTTTATTAGTTTGCGGTTTGTAGACATAAAAAGATAATATATAACGAATTCTTATGAAACCCGGTAGAAAATATTCCTACGCCTGATCGGCCAAACGAGAATTATAAAAATAATATTTACAGTAACGGGATACTGTGTTTACAGACTTACTAATTTTGATACACGGTAAGTCTCGGAATAAATTGTATATTAGAAAAGCGTACCTACCTTAAACCGCAAGCTGAAATGTGTTTTCTGGTTTTCTGCTTCAGTAAACAAATAAAGTACTTCACTTGACTTAAGAGGCGATGCCTGGCTTACTAGATTTTAATTGATATAAAAAATTGACGTACAAAAAACCAAAGTAGGCACCGGTTTGGTTGATATTGAACAGCTAGTTCTCAAAACTTTTTAATTACATCTCTGTTTATTAGTCACAGTTGGTGAATTGTGGAGTGTCTCTGCACACTGAGAAACATGTACATCTTACGATTTCCGCTCATCTGAATTTGCTGGTTTACGTGTGTATGTATGTAAGAAATGTTAAAATCTGTTATAGTTAATAATGATGATACATTATTGGAGTCTAAAATATTCAATTTGCTAGTATTAATATTTCCAAAGTGTACCCTGAAAAAGATGACAAAAAAAGTCCATTTTTTTTTGTAATTTCTGCAATTAATCACATGTAAAACAAAAAAGAGGTAAATAAACTCAACCTCATTAACATCAGTCTTTGGACAGGTAGGTATATTTTGCTGCAATCTTGAAAAGTATCAGCAGTCTTAAAAATGTCAGTTAGTTCCTGTTTAACTTTTGGTATTAAATCTTTAAAATCACCGCTTTATAAGAAAGATTGTTTCATGCGAATCGCGCTCTTAATCGTGCTGATAATATCACCCTGTAGGTTAAAAAAATCGATAGTTCTCTATTTACCTTCACATTTATCTAAAATCAGTAAACCACTTTACGTGTCACTAGCTTATTTTGTATTTGTTTTGCAACCTAACCGCAATTAAATCATTTTATACGTAGTGATCGTGTCTTGACTTTCCTTTCTGGTGTTACTATATATACAGAGTGAACAATAAATGTATACTTATACAGGGTGTTTGTAAATTAGTGCGAAATATTTTAGGAGGTAGTTGCCGAAGTTATTTTGTGAAAAAAAGTTCATGTAAACGTAGGTCGAATTATGCTTCGCTTCCGAGATACAGGGTGTTTAAATTATAATTTTTTATTTATTTTTATTAATTATTTCAGAGTTTTAAAGATATTGACTCGAAATTTGAAAAATGCTTTGGAGGAATAAATGTGCATTTTTTGGGGTGATCCGAATATTTCTACTTGCACTAGTGGCGTTCGTGCGAGAATGCCAACCTTTTTTAATTAAAAAAAAAATGTTACGCCACTGACTGTTCAATTTTGATATATTTTAGAAATTCGCCATTAATTCTGAATAAAATTGGCCATTTCAATTTTTTTCATAGGAAAATAAAATAAAACATTTTATTGCAAGTTGTGTATTTTTAATTTCTATAGATAACATTATCTAGTAGGTTGCTGTCTATATTTTTAAATAAAATGCAACCATCAAATTTCGAGTCAATATCTTTAAAACTGAAATAATTAATGAAAGAAATAAAAAATTAAAATTTCAACACCCTGTATCTCTGCAACGAAGCATATTTCGACTTACGTTTCTATGAACTTTTTTTCACAAAATAACTTCGTCAACCAAAATATTTCACGCTTATTTACAATCACCCTGTATTTTAGACAACAATTCAGTTTTGGACATCTACCTAATAGTTTTTTTTTGTGAAAAAATCAAGAATAAAAAAGTTAAATGTAAAACAGTATGCATGATTTTTTACTAAAGATCTTGTTGAGAACCACTGTCTATTTTAAATTTTATTTATAATGTGGTGTAGTTAGAGGTTATGTCTTTACCGTAAAAATCAGTGTAGTGTTGAGTACTTCTGGATGCGAGCCTGCATTTGAAATATGTCCACATTAACATCAAAAAAATATGGTGACTTTAAATTATCACGTCGTTGTCATATTAACTAAATTAATTTTCATTCGTTTCGCTGTCTAACAATTGATTGAAAAATATATTTACAGTTACTAACGTACCTCCGTACCAATATTAGTTAATATTTAATAAATCATATAAAAAAAAAATAATTTTTTTTTGAAACTAGAATTAAAACAAATATGGTGACTTTAAAATGACACGTCGCTAAGTATACAAAAGCGATCTATTTTACCAAATTATTTTTCATTGTCACTTCCGACAATGTACCTAGGTTGATTTAAAAATAACTGGCAACATTGATAGTGCACTAATACACAAATTTAGAAGAACAGTCTTTTTATTTTTAAAACAATAGTATTACGTTCTCGTTAAAAGGCAACACTGTTAGACACTTTAAAATCTACTTTCAATTTTCTTTATTAGATATTTTTTCACAATGCCGTTTAAACTGCTAGTCTTTTCTTTGCAAGCAATAAGATTTGGACATTCCCTGAAATTGCATAATTTTCTAAATAAAATGATAAAAGTCACATCGAAACCTAATAATTATTATGAAAGTCTTTTGAAAACTTGTTTGGAAATGCTTATAGAGTGACGAGTAAAGATTTACTCCCAATGCAAATTTTATCGCTCCCCCCTGGCCTTTTGGCGTGGTGCGGACATAAAACATGTTTTTTTATTCCTGACCTCCATTCCCCAGGAAGTGGACCTCTGCCAATACAACGGAAAAGTGCGAGGCAGGCCAGACTCGTGGGTAGCTTTATCAACTTGCGACGGACTCTCCGGCGTCATCTTCGACGGCGAGGAGATGCATTACGTCGAGAAGGACGACAAGGCAATCGGCGAAGGAATCGGGGCCACTCATTTTTTATACAAGCACTCCGACCTGGCGGAGCACAATAAGACCTGCGGGTACGCCGGTGACACCGTGGACCACGAGGAGGATCATCTTCATCATCACAATCGCATTCTAAGGGTAATTAATTTCGAGATGTATAACGATAATTTATGCCGCTTCCATAATTAAAAAAAATATAGTTCAAAAGGAGCACAATGTTCTCATTTAGTAAAATTTAATTTATAACTTGTTTTTACATTTTTCGTAAGCATTTGATCTCCTGAATAGGTTGTGAAAAAATAAGGTCGAATCAGTCTTTAACGATAACGATTCTAATTCGGAAAATATTTCAAACGATCTAAACCGTTCGCAAACCGCTTGTGACGTCACACCATCCGACTGGTTCGACGCGACGATTCTATGCATTATCTGCTATTGTCTCAAGTTAATTATTTGTAGTATAGTTTTAAGTTTTTTATCTCTGCATATGGAAAACTTTTTTGAATGTTACATATTCACATCTTCCATCTGGGACAAATTTAAAAATTAAAAAAACATTTACATATGACATTCTTGCATTATAATAAATGACTTTTTGAGCAAATCATAGCTACAACATTGTTTTTTTGTTCTGTTTTTAGTACAAAAGAGACACAGATCAAAATGAACCTTTGGTACGTGGACCGTACAATGCCAATAAAGAATCAAAATATGTAGAGTTAGTTTTAGTGTTAGACAATCAGGAATACAAGGAGTTGGGAGAAAGTAGAACCAGAGTGTTGAATCATGCCAAAACGATAGCAAATATTGTGAATGGAGTAAGTAGATCCTAATATTTTTTCATTCCTGTATATATGTTTACCTACTTCACACTTTCTGAAAATTGCTCATATTACTTTATATTTTATCGTTTTATAATATTGGTGTCTATTAAATTTTTTTACAATAAATAAAACCTATTATAAATTTTATTTTTGTCAATTCCTTAAAATATAAAATTTTGCGGTTTTCACTTATAGAAACTGATTAAAATTATTATATTATCATTTTGGACTGTGGTGGTTATTTTCTTTTTATTTTTTAGCTGTATTCCCCTTTAAATATTTTTATAGCCTTAGTGGGTGTAGTGATTTGGAGCGAACGTGATGAAATCGTTTTTTCCACGAATGGGGACACTACCCTCACGAATTTTTTACATTATAGACGAGGTCAGTTGATCAAGGAACATCCTAACGATAACGCTCAATTACTAACGTAAGTATTAATTTTGAAAATAATTTTCATATTGGAACAAATTTTCGGAGGCGCTAAAAGACCGTATTTTATTGCAGCAAATTCAATTTTGACAATGGAGTAGTTGGAAAGGCACTTAGAGGGCCTATTTGTACGTACCAATTTTCCGGTGGTGTCAACACCGACCACTCTACAGTCGTCGGACTTGTGGCCACCACCATCGCTCATGAAATGGGACACAATTTCGGTAAGAAGTTTTGTAATTTTTAATTGTGTTACCCAAGGTTCTCTTCTTGGACTCGTGCTTAAATTTTCTTAAATCGCAGGCATGGAACACGATAAGAACGAGTGCAAATGCCCCGACGATCGTTGTATCATGGCCCCCAGTAGCTCAACCGTTGCTCCGACCCATTGGTCATCATGTAGTTTAAATTATCTCTTATTAGCTTTCACTCACGGCATGGACTATTGCTTGAAAAACAAGCCTAAATCCTTGTTCGACAGTCCGGTATGCGGAAATGGCTTTGTCGAACCAGGAGAGCAGTGCGACTGTGGACTGCCTGAACATTGTGATAATACTTGTTGTAACGCCACAACTTGTATGCTGTACAGCAACGCCAGCTGCGCCACTGGAGAGTGCTGTGATTTAACCGTAAGTGTAGTTCATTCATAATCATAGCGAGTGATAAAACATACTTTAAAGTATATACTTTATCACCATATTAGCGAGTGGCAAAGTATATACTTTACCACAATATTAGCGAGTACTAATGTACAATATCTTAGCACTTGCTTTCATTCATAATCATAGCTAGTGATAAAGTATATACTTGCCACTACATTGTGTAATATACAATGTTTTACCACTTGTTATTTAAGTATAATATCAATCATGATCAATACTTTGCCACGACATTAGCAAGTGGTAATGTACAATACTTTACTACTTAATAATACAATAATCAATATACATATATACAATACAATACAATATCCTAGCACTTGCTGTAGTGAAGTATAATATCTAATTCGATGTTTCATTCATAATCATAACTGGTGATAAAGTATATACTTTGCCACTACATTGTGTAATGTACATTATTTTACCACTTGCTATATATAACGAAGTAAAATACGTAGATCAACTAAGTGTTTCAATCACAATCAAATCTAGTGGTGAAGTATATACTTTGCCACTACATTAGCAAGTGGTAATATACAATATTTTACCACTTGTATAGTGTATATGTGATTCGACCAAGTGTTTCTTTCATAATCATAGCCAGTGGTAAAGTATATACATTATCAGCCGCTATAGTGATAAAGTATATAATTTAACACCATGTTAATGAGTGGCAATGTACAATATTGAATATAATCCTGTATAATATTTAATCTGGCTCTAAATGTGTTTCATTCATATTCATAGGGACTGATAAAGTATATACTTTATCACAATATAGGTGAGTGGTAATGTACAATATTTTACTTCTTAATAGAGTGGTGGATAATACTTGATTAACTGTAAATGATTCAATCATAAACATAGCAAGTGATAAAGTATATACTTTATCACGATGTTTGCAAGTAGTACAATATTTTACCACTTCTTATAGTGGTAAAATGTAATAGTTGAATTGTTTATTCATAATTACAGTGAATGGTAAAGTATATACTTTACACCAGTCTGCTTTTTGCAATTTAACCATGAGTTTTTTTAAGAAAAAGTACTTAAAGAGTAAATTAATGTCTTCAATACCTAAGAATTTATAAACTATTTTACATACAAAGAATACTACTTCTTTCAAAGGTAAAAATATGTACTTTGCCGCTTCTGTGTTTATGTACTTGCCTTACTTTTTGCTATAGTGGTAAAGGGTAATATTTGATCATTTGTTAGCGAAGTGGTAAAGTACATACTTTACACCTTTATAGTACTTTACTGTTCAGCTCTATAAAAAAGGATTTATAAGTAATGTGTTTTTTAAAATTCAGAGATTACAAGCGACAAATGCTTTATTTTTTTGTATTTCATATCGATTATAATTATGTACTTTGCCACTTCAGAAAAATATTCTCGCTTGTGTCAATAGCGGTGAGTGGTAAAGTATATCTTACCAAGTTTTATTATTTGTCAGGTAATTACGAAAATTTTTATGTCTCTTCTAGACTTGCCGGCCTAAAAATGCCGGTACCTTGTGCCGCTCCGCCGACCTAGAATGCGACCTGCCAGAATATTGTACCGGCCAATCGGAATATTGCCCCGCCGACATCTACAAGATAGACACGGAAGTGTGTGACGGAGGCAAAGCTTACTGTTACCACGGCTTCTGCAGGACGAGGACGGATCAGTGTAAGCTCCTCTGGGGAGAGACGGGCAAGTCTAGCGATGAACAGTGCTACAAGATGAACGTCAAGGGGGACAGGCATGGAAACTGCGGCTATAACATGCTTACTAACTCTTACGCTATGTGCACTAACGAGTAAGTACACGAAAGTGTATTTTTGTGTAATTTAGAAAAATTATAAAAATTTTTTTAGGAGCATACTGTGTGGTATGTTGCATTGTAAACACTTGAACGAAAGACTGGAGTTTGGCATGGAGTCCGTGGCCATATTATCGCATACGTTTATCAACAAGAAGGGCTCGATCATCCCTTGTAGGACGGCGCTGGTCGACTTGGGGGTAAATCAAGTCGATCCTGGCCTTGCCCCTGACGGATCTCACTGTGGTGAGGGCAAGGTAAATAAATATGTTTGCGGGACAGGCGATGATATATTATTACGTTGTTAATTTTTCAGATGTGCGTTAATCAGAAGTGCATGTCGGTGTCGAGTTTGAGAAAGATGGGCCCGGCGTGCCCTCAGGACTGCAACGGCAACGGATGGTGCAATAACAAAGGGCACTGTCATTGTAAAGATGGCTTTGCGCCGCCCTACTGTGATAATCCTGGACCTGGCGGCTCGATGGACAGCGGCCCCGCTTCTGATCCCAATGGTAAGAATTTTTTTCATGTTGTCTTGTTTGTCGTTGATTTGAAAACTAAAACTTTGAAGTAACTCATTTAGAAAAAATTTTGTTTCGTTTTAAATCAAAGGTCTGATCAGAGTGAAGCATATTAGTAGCAAAAGACGAAAAAGAAAGGGTAATGTTGTTTATAAAAAAACAAGCTTCACTCATCTATTTCCATGGCATGTCGTGTAAATTTTAGCCGTTCGTTAGATTTCTGCTCATTGCTGCTTAACGCTTCAGGTACATTGACAGTTGAAATTCTGCTTCACAAATCACAATAATGATTTTTCAATGGATCATTAATGTAATTAAAAATTTAAACTGATTTTTTTTAATTTTTTGTAGTTATGCTTTAATTTCAATAAATGTTTCAGTTATTTATAAAATTATTCATTCATGTACTATTGTCATCTTTAAAAAATATTTTTAAGGACAAATTCGTAAAAGAAATCGCTTTCTTTAATTGTAACACTTCTTCCAGTGTAACCGTTATTAAGAATTTGTCAAAAAAAAATAAAATCGTAAGAATAAATATGTCATTTATAATTTTTTAATTAATACATAGTACATTTGCATGAATAAAATACACTGCACAGAATGTGTCAATTTCAACACTTTTGGAGGATTTTTCGTATACCTATAGTACCCAAAGAGGTACACAAAAGACAGTTCAAATATCCCAGGCTCGATTTTTGAGAAAAATTTAATAGTTAAAACTACATCCACCAGATACAGAACGTTTTTAATTTTTGTCCTCTTTTTATGCCAAATAAATATTTTATTATTTAAAATTTTTTAATTTTGTTAAAGGCTTAATCTCCGGAACACATTTTGGTTAATACTGGCAACAGAATTACTGTAAATTTCCTGAAACAGAATGAGATTAAATCATATTATCTGGAATTATTTAAATACATCTCTAGGTTCATTGAAAAAGTAACAAATGCCAAAATACTAGTTTTTAAGCATGCTTTAACAGTTATTTTTTTAACATTAACAGTTTAAAATTTGAGAGTTCGTAAAATTTTTTGTGCAAGCTGGGCCAAATTTTAATATTTTTGGAGGAGTTTTTTGTGTATTTTGAGGAGATAGACAAAAAGTAGTAAAGATGTCTTGGTCTCGATATTCGAGAAAAACAACGTTAAAAATTTAATCTCAATATCTTAATTAATTTAAAGAGATATGTGTTTTCTGCAACTCAAAGAAAAATATTTTATTTGTGAAATTTATTGATTATATACTTTGCAATTTTTAAAGAGTATGTCAGATACATCCATAGCATACTTAATGATATCAAGAAAAAGTTGAATTATTAAAAATAATTTTTGGGGACTATTAGGGGTACCAGTCCCGAATCGTTATTTTAATAATGGTGTTTTCTAATCTCGGAATGTGCAGGTTAATCCTGAAAAAATTTAAAGGTAAAAAAATGAAGAAAAATACAACTTAACATAAAAATATTCAGAGGTCAGATTTGTATGGAGGGTATCTCTGGTCTTTAAAAACACACATCATAAATTTGTTTTCTCAAATACCCTCAACGAAACAGGTTTTTTTTGTAATTAACATTGGCAGTTTGTTTTTTACTTTTGGCAGTGTGAAGCAATGGCGTACTATTTTGTTTAGAAAAATATGCCACCGATACCCTGTATCTCCGCCACTGGAGCATCTAAATTTCAGGAAAAGGCCTCAGATTTTAGACAATGTTTACATAAATACATGTGCCCAATTTCAAATTATTTCACTTACTAGTTTTTAAATTTTAAAAAATTAAAAACATTTTTGTAAGTTTAACATCTTGTATCTTTTTAACGAAACGTCCTGGAACTCCTGGATAAAAACTTTATACGAAAAACTCCCTTTAACATTCACCAATGAATACAATGTTTCATTTTTGGTCACCATTTGTGAATCACCTTTTATAAATAATTATTTTAAAACATAAATTAGTTTTACTTATAATTAGTAACGTACCTACCAATGATGAAAATAATTTAAATTTTTTGAAAACAAGAGAATTTTTTAATGATTGGCGGCTGATCAATTAACATCAAAAAGTTTAAAAAAAATCGTAACAACAAATAATTTGACAAATAAATAATTCAGATTAACTTAGAGTTACACGCTGTATATATTTTAAAAAATGTGTGTAATTGGACATTATATTATAGAAAAATAATGCTATGCTACTGAATTCTATGCAAAAAAACTGAATTAAATAAAATAAAAAATCGAGCCCAAGCCATTTTAAGTACTTCTTGTCTATCTCCTGGAAAAATACGAAAAACCTCCCCAGAAACATTGAACTAGACCCACTCTGTACACGTTAAAGTTGACTGTTCTTTATTTTATTTTTTTTAGCCCACCAAGGCTTGATCGCCGCCATGTTCATCTTCTTTCTGGGCATAGTCCCGTTGGTGGCAATTGTGGTGTTCCTCTACTACTACGCACGCCAGAACTTCAAATTCGGCAAGAAGAAGTCCTCCCAGGCAACGTATGTAACTAACTGTTTCCAGCATGCCGTGTCTGCATGTAAAGGTGTTGGTTCTTCACTAAAACGTCCGTCTGTACCCAGCGTATCCGACGAGGTATCCCAAAAGGGGCGGAACGTCACCTCTCGCGGTAACATTGAGATCACGCCGACTGGGCTCGTTTCCACTACTAACCCGGAGTGTATAAATAGGAGTAATACCATCTCTTCGGAATTCAAAAGGGGTAAAAGCGGGGCTAACGCCGATAGTAACACTAACGCGCAACCCGCCAAGCGTCTGTCTATAAAAAACGTTAAGAATTTCGTGTTTAGCGACTCGAGCGGCGGTGAGTCTAAGTCTAAAAATTGCGACACTGGTAAGGTTTCTGCGAAACCAGAGCGGAAGTTATCTTTGAAAAGTCTCAAATTAAATACCAATATTAAGTATAGCAGGAGTAAGGATACTGAGATGAAAACTCCCGATACCGCAGAAACTTTATGTGAGGAAAGTCCTCAGTTATCGGTGAGCGATTTGATGAAAAAATTTAACGGAAACCCCAGTTTTCTTTCTCGCAACACCTAAAGGACATTAAAAATTTTTAGATTACAAAAAGAAATAGATGTAAAAAGGTCTAGAGGACATAACCTCACATTCCTTATGTGTAAAGTGTGACAAAATAAAGCAAATTCCATATTTACTTTGCAAAAAACGTGTTGAATCCAAAGATAAACTTTTTGTTATTGAAGTAGAATTAGGTTTTAAAAAAAAATAATTTATTGAATGAAAAATTAAAATTATATTTAGTGGACATAACCTCAAATTAGTGTAGGAAAAGAACACTAGATGGCTCTTTTTGAATAATAGTGAGTTGGCAAGGACTTTACGTGTAGAGTTTGTTTTCGTGGTATACAGGGTGTTACTAAAATGCTTGGCCAATCTTCAGCGGCAGATGCTACATTAGAAACTTAAAAAGAAGTCTATCTATAAACATACTTTCAGAAATGCTCAATTTTTATGAAGTTTAAAGTTAAAAAAAAATGAGATGGTAAACTTATTATAAAAGTTGGATGATTTAATTTTATGAAATACCACTTACATTGGATGATTTTATTGAACTAAAAGTTGACCTTGGACTTTGCAGATAAAAAAGTTAAAGTTTACGTATCGAACTGTCGGCAAATCGAGCAAATTGATCATGTTAAATTTACGTTTACTAGTGACAGTAAATAAAAACAAAAAATAATTATTTCCTTTTGGTAAAATAAAATTTTTATGAAAATGTTTAAAAAAAAAGAAAATCTGACCCATCTGCAACTCGAGCCATCATCCTTTAGGTCGAAAAATGTGGGTGGTGTCTATTAGGGTGGCCCAAAAAAACGAATATTTTTTTTTTCTTTTTTGTAAAAATATATTAGTTTATCACGTTTTAAGAGCCCCCTCAAAAAATCAGCTCAAAAAAAATTTTTTTAGAGGTTGCTCAAGATTTTTAAAAATTTCCAAAATCGTCAAAAATAGATTTTTTTGAAAATTTTTTTTGACAAATTTTAAAAAATTCAAAAATTATAAATATTTGATACTCGCAGTGCAGTTGTAAATTTTGTCTCGAGAAATTGTTTAAGTGTCTCGTGATTTATTTCTACTCTTTTGTTCATCAAATTCAATAAAAAAAATTAGTTCGTTGATATTTATTTTTAGAGGTCGCTCGAAAACATTTTAGGTACACTACTTTTAAAGTTAAAATAATTATGAGTGACCTTTAGAAATTAAAATATCGATTTGAAATTTTCAGAATCGAGATTTTTTTCAACCTAGAAAATGATAGAATAACGAGAAATAGAATAAAAATAAAATTCAATTTCTGACGATTTTGGAAATTTTTAAAAATCTTGAGCAACCTAAAAAATTTTTTTTTGAGTTGATTTTTTGAGGGTGCTCTTAAAACATGATAAACTAACATACTTTCACAAGAGACACAAAAAAAATATATTCGGTTTTTTTTGGTCCACCCTTGTATCTATAGCTCGTGTATTTCAGTCACTGCAAATATAAATAAAAATCTTGAAATATTCCAATTCCGTCTATAATATTGATTGAAAAAAACAAGAAACGGTACTGAATGGGAAAATAACAACCCTGGTGGATGGGATGACATTTATTTTGACACTTCGATGTTAATTTTCATGTAAATGACGGCCATCTTTCTTATATCGCTCTCACAGAGAAAACCACCAATTTTTTCAAGGAAATTCTAAACGGAAGTCGAAGCGAGAAAAGCTTTAATTACAGCAATCGATTTTGAAGACAAAAACCACGGACCAATTAGAAATAATTTTCAACGCCCTGTACTTCAATAGTGTTTCCGAAAATATGTTACCAGGAACTTTTTTTTTGTTAATTTGCAACTTTTGGCCAAGCATTTTGGTTATACACTGCATATAAATATTGTAATTATTTCTAAAAAAATAATAAAGAATTACTAGAAAAAAAAAATAAAAGCTGAAGCTAAACGCTCTAAATGTAATTTGATAATTTGGCGCATTTCTAAGTTGTACTTAAAGTTTCTAAAAAGCTCAAAACTTTTTTCCGTTGTTAAACTCAACTTCACTTTGTGATATTTACTTCAATAAATATTAGTACGCTTTTAGATGGTTAGAATTTTTATACCCGCTTTTAGTTTTTATCGGTTACGTTATTTGACATTTATAACAACCTTTTTTATTTTTTATACGCTTCTGGTGCTCTTCTGCCGCAACTTCTTGCAAAAGGTGCCGATTAAAAGGAGTCCGTGGCGAATTGAAGCATTTCTGGGTTAAGACGTTAATTATAAGGGACGAGAATGCTTTTTCCTCTGTAATCGCTTTTTTTCATTGTTCGACTACCATTTTTTATGACAATGGTAACCTACTCACCTTCAAAATAGGATTGCCTTATTAAATTATTGACAATAGTAACCAATAATTCTGCGCAGTTCTGGTGGGGTTTTCGAAATTTACTCAAAGTCCTTTTATTTACGATTTGTCTCGTTTTAGCGACGGACTAATGCCGGACTTTTGTGGATTTTTTTCACAAGACGCCTCCGTCGTTAAAGTCGTGAAAAATTTGTGCAGTATAAAAAACACTTTCAAGACTTTTTAGTTTGTCTAGCCCATTCTAGTCTATTTATTGTACTTGTGAGTTGTGCAGTAAAATTAGGTTTATGTTTTTTTTGTTATTTGTAGTTGTAGCTTTTGTCTTATATGTTTTTTACTTACCTTTTAAGCTCTGTATTTTTGTTATTTAACCAGATTGTAGCCATTTTTAGAGTTACTCATCAAGGGGTATTATTTTGTTACTAACCTTTGGAAATTTCTCTACACTAATTTTCGTAATTTGTAAGTTGCTTGGTTAGTCCTTACACCTTTCCTCTCAATTAACTACACTAAAATTTTATACATAATATGGAGTTTCCCTTTCTTATTTATATTTAACAAAATAATACGCTACTTTTTTTTAACAATAATCCTTGTATCTTATTTTTTTAAATATATTATCTTTCTGTATGTGTTTGTTTTATTGTCTTTGCATGATTTGTGTTTTTTTTACAAATACATTTTTTATTAATAAATTTTACCTCCACTTATTTTTTATTTTTATTACTTCAAAATTAGTCATCACAGCCCCTTTGCACATGCCCACAGACTATTGATTTTCCCTTTTGTCACTTTTATTTTTAAATAAGTGAGGTTAAGAAAGATGGGTAGATCAAAATCACTTTAGACTATCATTTACACAGTAATGTATTACCTTTGTTGGTTCAACAGGTCAAAATCGCCGAGCAAATCAAGGGGACCGTCCTTTCCGTCCGAGACCACGAAAAGAACCGAGGACAATCATTCCTTGCTGCACGAGGACTCCCCACCTCCCACCGGACTACAGAACGAGTTTTTCGGTAATTTCAAAGGCTTCAGTTTAAGTCCGGCCAAGAAACCCGAGCCGGAACCCATCAGAGCAGCTCCGCCTCCCCCAGTCGTCCCACCGCCCGCGCCTCAGGTTAAAACCAGCCCGTCCTTTAAAGCGCCACCTAGTGTCGCCACCGCTACAGTAAAAACACCGAGTATAAACCGTTTCCACAGCCTGGCAGCTAAAACCAACTTGTTTAACAAACCCGTGCAAAAGACGAACTCGTTTAAGTCTAATACTTTGTCGAATGGTATAGCCACGGTTAATGGAGCTTCGGTGGCCCCGGCGCTACCTCCGCCCAACCCAGGAAGCAGCGCTAGGCCAATAATATCTTCTCCGGTGCTAGAAAATTCCACTTGTACCGCGAAAGAACTGATTTCACCTTTGAGAAACGCTCCAAAAGTACCCCTTAGACCTGCGCCTGAGACTCCAGTGCCTGCGGTCGAGAAAGAATCAAAGCGGCCTTTATCGTCACCTGATGCGTCACAAACTGTACTCAATATTAAAATTTCCGAGGATCTCAAGAAACCCCCGAAAGAAAAGGAAAGCTCTAGCGCTTTGAACAGAATCACTTCGTTTCTAAAACCCACCGATAAGAAACCCGTGGTGCAGTCTAATTCTCTACCGAAAACAAGCCAAGTTAAAGCTAACAAGGTCCTTGACAAAGACGCTTTACGTTCGATGGAGATATCCAACCCCATCCCGCAAACCAAAATCGAAATAGCCATCACCGCTTTACCGGTGAACACGGAAGCTAGTAAAACCGTTGTGATGAGGGCTCAAAGTATGCGCGTCGCGAAAGATAAGCCAAAGCCCCATATCCAAACCTTCGGGTCGATGCGTCAACCCAGCGGATTCAAACGACCGTTGAGCATCCCCTCCGGGGTCAGGCCAAAAAGTCCTCCCCCACCGAGACCGCCGGGTGAAAATGTAGAGAAGGCGATCAAGACTGTTAAAGGTGCCGAAAGCAACGACCTAAACCAATACGACGACTGTTTGAACGAAGCTGCCCCGCTTGCGAAGATAAGCGAAGGCGTCAGTCCGACCAGCGGTGATAATATTTACGCGGTTATCGAAGAATCTCCCGTCTCGCCCCAGTCACCGGAAAAAGTGACCAGCGGGTCGGGATCCAGCGATAGCATGGGTTTATTAGGGGAGATAGTGTCGGAAATACAGAATCGTAACTTCGATTCTATTTATTCTACCTCGACCCTAGCTCGGAAGAAGAAAGAGGAAGAGGAAAAGTTAAGAAAACAGAGAGCAGGTGTCGCTTCACCTGACCCTTCCGAAATATACGTAAACACTTCTTCCTTAGCTTACGCGGAAAGCGAATATAGTAATATGAGCGGTAATATAAAGTCAAGTGCCAGTTCTACTTCTAGCGGTTATATTCACCCTTCCGCTGTAAACGTGCCCATCAAAGCTGCGGATCCAAAGCCCGAAGAGAAACCTCCATCCAAACCTAATCTAAGCAGCTTCAAGTCAGAAAGCACCAAACCGTTTTCTTCCACGTTTAACAGACCGCAAGGTCCGGTTGCGTCTAGTTTTAAAACCAACGCAACGGACGTAAAGAAAGTGGAAGCGTCTTCCGAGAAACGAAGTAATAAATCAAAAACTCCGCCTTCTCCGACAACCAAAACACCGCCTTCCCCTACGATAAAAGCCGCGCCTAAAGCGCCGATAAACAGACAAGTGACGCCTCCAAATCTGCGTACCAGAAAGCCTTCGCCGACCAGAGCCGCACCCCAGGGTCCAAAGACGAATAACAGGAGGTCTATCACTAATAGCCCCGACTTAGTAACTAGTTGTAACGCCAATCCAGCCGCGAAGCCTCCCGATGTACTTAATAGGGGGACAACGGCACGTAAACCGGCGATATCGAATTCTAAGCCCACAGCGGACAGCTTAAACAAAGTGCCAGGGAAAATCAACCAGAAAGCGGTGAGTTTCAAGTCGCCTCAGGAGAAGAAAGGCGACGTTAAACCGCCCGTAGCTAGTAAAATAAACAAGGCCAACTCCGACGTCGGCGCCATTATAAAAACCTCAGTCGGCCTTAGGAATGCAGCTAGGCAATCTTCGAACGTCGCTTCCTTGCAGCAGAAGTTTGAGAATAAGAGTAACGTAAGTAGTGCGGAGAAAGTGAAAGCGTAAATCAAAATCTGTGTGTATATATGTTAGACAATTGTTTCGGTATTATTTATGAATCTGAACTCTCGCTAGTCTGTGTTCTAATTTATAAGTTGTTTTGAACTTATTTTATGAACGATCGGCGACTGTTGAAATTAAGACTAAGAATTTAGTTATATTTTTTGTACATATACCAAAGATTATTATTATATTCTATTAATGATTGTAATACATTCATTCTTGTATTACATGTTCTAGTTTCATTTTTTTCTTTTTTTTTCAGTGGGTAATCAATCTCGGGAAAGGGTTCATATAATTGAATGAAAACACTGTTCCTTGTAAATATTAATTTTTTTTACAAAATACTGACATATACGACAACACATAACAGAATGGAGCTTAGAAACATATCTTCTTTAATTAGTGTAGTTATTCAACAAGTGCAGCTTTTAAAACACCTTGCTATGCATCGTTGAGGGTTACCTTGCTATAAAATCTAAAGAAAATGTATTTATTTTGATAAAATCTCAACAATGCACACATATCGTCCCAATTATCACGTAGAGGCGTATGTGTATATTCTTGGATTATACGCCCCTACGTGATAAGAGGGACGATATCTTCATTATTTAATACAAAAAAATATCCGTTTTACTTTTATTAGTCTCTAAGTGAGGATACTGATTTTTAGTCAATAATTAGCTGGTTAGTCTAAAAATAATACCAATATTGATTCTGAATTTAAAAAAATCCATGTTCTACGTTTTTCTGGAAGCACCCAGTAACTTAAAACCCCATGCATCCAGCAAAATGCCTGCAGATATTTGAAAAATATGTTATTTGTCTATATTTATCAAAAATTTTCATTTCAAAGTCTACAAAAATAGAATTCAAATTGCACATATTTCAACGGGTTTTCAATGCTGATGTTGTCAGTTTTTTCGACATTTTAAGAAATTACGTTTCAACTGTACGGCCCAAATTTTATTGAATGCACTTAGAAAGTCGTGCTGACACACTATTTATTCTGTGTTCATTTCAATTGGAGAAACATAGCAGTGACGGTGTTTGTGGTGATAAAAAAAAGTCAAAGAAAAATATTGTTCGCTTTTGTTGGCATAACTGAGATTGATGAAATGAAAATGAAATATTAACACAAAAATGATCCTGATCCAAAATGCTCTAGATTCAATCAATAACAGCTTAAAAATCTTGAGCAAAACACAGATTTAATAGAATATATCACTGTCCACACATTGTATAGTTGGTACGATATCAATTGGAACCTGTGAATCTTAAAGCACAGGACCGTTGCACTTCCCTCGAAATTTTGTCCTATGTAATACGTCTGAACGTAGCTACCGCGCCGTACGTGAAAGTTTCGTATGCGAATATATACGTCTGGAGCAGTTAGACCACTTATAGTTTTACATTATGTTGTATTAAATTACGATTTAAGATTAATTTTACGATTTTATTTTGAATAAAATACAGTATATGTACTATATAGAAACTGAAAGAAACATGAACAATCTTAGTATTATTACCAGTACCTCTTTCCATAAACATATTTGTCACAATCGGTATAAGCTCGCCCGCAAAAATTCACCTTACCTATTGCAATAACCGAGTCACTAATGCGCATGGTTGCGAATATATACGGTTTGAGCAACCTGATCCAATTTAACTATTCATGCGAATTAATCCGTCTGGAGCAGTGAAAGGGCTAACCATGATCTGCCTCGTAATTTATACTCGAATAGCCATTGGGCGAATCCGGTATTGGTAGACCAGTCCACCTGATGTAGAATCGAAGGCGGCGTGTTGGTCATCAAAGCAAACCTGTATTGGTCCACTAGGTCGTAAATAAGTTTTTGCATGGTATTCTATAATTAGTTTGGTGTCAAACGTGGTTCACTTGGCTTTGCCAGTGCAGTGAAGAGCAGTGCTTGGCGTGGTATATTTATTGTTGATATAATACGTATTATTAATTATTAGTTCATATCGTAACCAGTAAAGGATAATGGTTATTAAAATAAATAATATATGTAAATTATCTAGTAATTTAGCATGGCTTTCTGGAGACCCTTTGAAATGGACGAGAATAACGATATAACCCGGGAAAATCCCCAAATAGTCGAACCGGTTTTTGTCGAAACAAAGAGTTTAAAGACAAAGATATACACATACAGAGTCAACGTATTATTTTAAATATATATGAATATTTGAAAAAATAAAATAGTGAACAATGTGATAAAGAAATTAGGAAACAGATTAGCGAAATAACTAAGATATCTAAAACGATAATTTATCACGTAATTAAACAAGGAGACTTTATTAATCACGGTACAAAGAGGGAAACGAAAAAATACAAAATTAAAGAATATTAACGATTTTTCCAGAGGCGTAATAGGCGCACAATTTATAATATCACATGATTCAAAATAAATTAAGTGATTATCCTGACTATAATTATAAATCTTTAGATACTTTATGACGTTTTATTACAATGTGATTTTAAACATAAAAAACTTGACAATCGTATGGTATTTATGGAATCACGACGTACAGTTGCACTTCGGAAAGATTATTTACAAAAAAATTTGAGAATATAGCTCGGAATATAGCATATCTAGACAAGACAGGGCTAAATTTTTCTGGACGCCTGTGGATTCCGTAGTTTATGAGTTAAAAGTTTTTATGCGGTTCCAACTGATATCGTAACGACTATACATACCGGATGGTTAAACCATGCTTTTTCTCAGTTTCAATTGCACAGTTAAAACTGGAACAAATCCCAGTACATTACCCAGTTTGGCCTTTGTAGGCCAGACCATGCCATTAACACTGTGTACTGTGTACAGCCCATAAGAGAACAATAATTTTGAAAAAAACACCTTTCGTGTACTGGATATGAGGATTTCGAATTTGGCCTCAGAATAGAACGTTTTAGTGCCGAAAGAAAATATTTAAAAAAAATCATAGATCTCTGCACTCAAAACTTTACAAAAAAGAGACTACAGAAAGGGATTTAGCAAAATCGAATCAGTCGTGAAGAAATTTTTTATAATTTTTCTAGATAAAAATTTAATAAGGAAACATTTTCTGTCCATGAAAATTTACAATAATTCTCAAAAAAAGAATGGAAGTGCCCAAATTTAGAAACAAACCTCCAAAGGCGCATGAAAATTTTGGTGTAATTAAATATATTAACAGGAGTATAAAGTGCGAATGGGTTGTAGAACTAAATAAGTGTTTTCTGGGAATATTAATTCTTACAGATCAAAAGCGAGAAATTCAAATTTCTTTTAGTTGTGGTTTTAGTGCCACATGAAAAATTTTTCAAAAAATTTCAGTTTAATGAAAAACAAAATTTTCACTGATGCTCAAATATTTTTTTTAGGAAAATATTTAAAAATTCCCAGTAAATGAAAATGTCCAACAAAAAAAAATGTTTTTACAAAATTTTGACATGGAAAATTTAAGATAGAAGCTGTCTTTTTGCATATTTAGTAACACTAAAAATGTCTAATTAAAAGTAGCGTAAAAAATCTCGAGAAAAAAAATTAAAAGATGTTTCTACACTTCTATTCTACTGCTGCTTCATGCAAAATGCATTATTAACTTCTAAAAAGATATTTCCATCTAAAAACTGCTTCAAATCATACAATTTTAAAATTGTTTTGAATTACACAGGATGTCTAATATTTTCCGGGCATTAACTATCTTCATTTTTTCAAATGGAACACGCTGTATATTATTGCATTTTTTGTTGAATTTAAGGTCTACATTGAAAAACATTAGTTTTAAAATATACCAATATATTTATCGGAGTAGGCTTTAGATGTGCAAAATTGGAAAATGTAATAACGTAAAGGGTCTTTAATTTGAAAAAAATCAAGTTAAGTTTCCCTGAAGCAATATGACGCCTGCAAAATTAAAAATAATTTCAAAACGTGAAGAAATTGATTTGGTTCTATTCGAAATATATTTGAAGTCAGGTGCTCCAGCTGCCCAAATAACTACTTAAACTTAAAACAAAAAAAAATGAATTCCTGAAAAATTAACTCCGCAATTAAAAATGTAGCTGCGTCGAACGTAAACGAGATATGTTTGAAAGTTCTTACGAAAACTAAAAAATTAATACTGGGAAATATTCACAATTAAAAAATAATCAGTGCTACATATTAATAACAAAAAGGCTATGTACAAACAACTACCACGTAACATATAAATAAGGAAATAAAGATACGTTTACTTAAGATCAATATATAAACACTTGACAGATGAAGGGACGTCAGTCTTAAATTCTATCTCGCCTCTTCTTGCAGGGATAATTAATTCCTGACCGATATTCTAGCGGATCGATGGACACTTTACTATAAAAAACAGTTCGTTTGAATTAAAACCTAATTTTTGGTTTAAGGGCAAGAGCGGAACGTCAAACTCGCTTTATACGAATGAAACCGTTCCATCAATCCACAACAACAACTTATCAGTCGCTTATCAATTATTCCAGAGTTACAATAAATTAAACGTCACTTTATTCTAGTCAGCAAGTTTAAATTGAATACATTAAAGTTAAAAACGGAATCCTTTTACAGCAGAATTTAAAGCCATAAGTGAGCGATTACATTCTAAAATAAATAAGAAATTAACATCGAGTTACTGACTACAATAATTAAAACAAAAAAGAACTTTCACAAGTAGCAGACCAGCCAGTCCTAAAACGTTACAAAAATATATTTCATCCTTAACCTAACAGCGGTCCGCCTCTCAAGTATTGCTACGATACATATCGAATAAATGCAAGTATCAAAATATATTTACCTGTCAATTCTTAAGACCTAAGACCGTCAACTGAGATATCAAAAAGTTGATCGTCGAGTTACAAATTTTGATCACCACTAAAATCACATCTAAGTTACGAGGAAGCCAAATGGTTCCGAGTTATCGATAAGCGTAATAGGTGTTCTGATCAAACCTAGCAACTCGTTTCTAAGGGGACGCTCTTCGTGGTGCCGTTGGTGACGCTGTTGGTGTTGGTCAGTGTGTCGCCCATCGATGGTGGTCCCTGAGAACTGGAGGAATGGTGGTTCGTTGTACCAGCGGTGCCGTTCTGCCTGTGCTTTCTCAGACACCAGACTCGCTTCACTGCTGATAATACCTAAATATACAAATACATATTTAAAAAAAAAAAAAAATTAAAAACGATTTAGTCGCAGAAAAATACAACTGGTCGATTACTGTTGATCAAACTTCAGGAGCAAGTAAATTAACAAAAAACAATGGTAGTTTGGTACATGATATGTCGATAAACTTTAAGGACCAATTCTTTGAGTAATTTAGTAATTTTAAGTAGTACTGGCAAAAACCGGAACAAAAGTGAAACCGGCTAACCGGGCTCCGTAAAAACCGGTTTCAAATAAAACCAGTTATCCGAATAGTGGTTAAAACGGGTTATTCGAATAACCGGTTACACGAATAATGACCAAAACCGGATATTTGAAAATCGGTGTTTTGAAAAACTGAAGGGATATACGATGTTATTCACATATTCACATTTTAAATTTTAAAGTTAAATCTAATGTTAAAAGTTAAAATGTTAAAACAGTTATACTTAATAAACTGTGGTTCTTCAATTTGGTCATTTGGTGTATGTGGGTATGGGTGATAGTTTTTTTTTTGTCGGTCTGTGTCTGTATCCCAGGATAAAGTATAAAAATAAATTGTATTTCCCTTAATAGTTCAACCTAATTTTTGTAGTACATAACACTAAGACTATACATATTATAGTGTTGACTATAAACAAAGAATCCAATTATTTGGATGTTTGAATGAACAGATTATCGAACAATCGGTTATTAGAATAATCGGTTATTTAAATAATCCGTTACCTATTTGAATAATCGGATATTTGAAGAATCGAATAACCGGTTTTCGGGTTTCGTAAAAATCCGAATTATCCGAAATTTTAAGCCATAATCATATTTTGCAACATACAGAATACCTATTGAAATTTATAAAAAAAGTATTATTTCTTCTAAAATGCCTCTGAAAACGTTTGATACAAAATGGTAAAATGAAAAATCCACTCAATTCAAACATAATAGATCTACCAGTTGCAAAGATAGCAGAAGTCAGTCTTAGTGAAAACTTCAGAAATTCTACACCACTGGTTATTTTTTAATTTAATTTAATTACTATGTAGTATTTCTATGAAAAAATATATATTTCTTTTTAATGAAGAAGTGAACCATTTTTGATTTTTTACTTTTATTAGGTAACGTTACCAAATATTTTACAAAATAATTCTAGAAGTGAATAGGATTTTTTTAAATAGAAATACAACCTAATGATGACAAGTCTAAAAAATTGATGGCCTGGAAAAAGAATTGCCCAATTATTTTTTTAAACTTTTCACGATTACATTATTTAAATAGAAAAAAATCATATGCACTTCTGTTTAGTGAAGTTCCTGGTAACGTGATTAAAAATTAAAAAGTAATAAATCTAAAATGATCCATTTTTCAAATAAAATGAAGACATTTTTTTCTCTTGGAAGTATCATAAGGTGTTACAAGTATATACAAACTATAATGGCGAATGTCTCTTTAGTGAGAGTGACTTCCGAGATCTCCGCCATTGGTACGTGTAATTACATATTTCCAAATTCATTGGGTTTTTTACCTTTAATCAGATAGATTATTATTAGTTTCATCATTCTGCATCAAGTACCTTCAGAAATATTTTAGAAAAAGTGTTAAATTTTTTATAATCCATGCTCTATTATCTCGAAAACTACCAATTTGCAGACCCATATTTACATAACTTGTTTTGTTTAAAATCACTCGAAAAATTGCCTCTTAAAATTTGTCAATGTACTTAACCAGCACCTATATTTCAAAAATGTTTTCTTTTTTGAGATATTTGATGCTAAAAAAAAATTAATAAGCACTGATATAACAAATCAAATTATTTTTTAAAAATTTCTATGCCCTATTTATTAAAAACGTTTTGAGACTGTAAATTGTATTTAATAGAAATATACGAATATATGTACCAAAAAACTGGGTCAAGCTGTTAACCACAGATTCTTTGGGTGAAAAAATAAGACTATTCCATTTTTCATTTTCCCATATCTTTTTAAGTTCAAGAATGTCAAGATACAAGGTGTGACAAATATAAAATATTTCTTAAAAACCAGTTACCTACTAATAAAAGCTCTTTTCTCAATTGTACTTTTGTCACTTCTTTTAAAAAAGAAGCACCTAAACAATTTGAGGAAAGCCATTATTTTTACCTAAAGAAACAGTGTGACTTAGATTCAGTTTTTATTTATGAAAGTAGACCTTAAATTCAATGATAAATAAAAATAATAATATGCAGGGAATTCCATTTGAATAAAAATTAGTAAAGTAAGGCTTAGAATAAATGAGACTGTATAACAAAAAATATATTTGAAGATGCAACTATTTTTAAGACTTCTCATATTAATAGAGCTAGATCAGAGGAATTAATGAATTAAGAAATGTTATAAGAAATGGTTTATTTTGTTTTGTTTGTGTTTTATTACTGGTGTATCCCTATTTTTTTTAATAAAAGCATCCACAATCCCTTTTTCAATGGCAAATCAAAAATACTTTTGTAAACTGTATTGTGAAAAACATACTGTGAAATTTCAACAATGCAACAATATGCAGAAACAATTTTACTAAAAGTATTTATTTACGAAAATCTAACACATCCTATTTCAAAGAGTAAATATTCTGCCTATACACAATCATTATTTGTTGATAATAATCTACATGCTCCTAGAATTCTATCAATGAATTAATATTTTTTCAAGTGTAACTTTACAAATAAAAAAAATTAAGAATAAAGACAGCGATATGATGGCTTTGATAAAAAAAAATGAAGAATATATTCATATAGTGATAACATCCATCCTTTCCTAAAAGAGGCTGTAAAAGTTTTATAAGAAACATTTTCCATAAAACCAAATGAGGAATCCACCACTTTATTTTTTGCAAATGATTATTTCAACTCTCGCTATTTCTGACGATTTTCGAGATAGCAGTATCACGGTACTCAATTTGAAATACCCTGTACAGGTAAGTTATTTCAATTAGTTTAAATGGCAAAAAAGAATACCTGTGGCTGACATCCTACGACGATGAAGATAAAAATCCCATGGAGGCAATTGATCAAATCCGTCACATACCATAGCTCACGTGGTCCTCCTACAGCAAAAGATATAAGATCGGCTATCCATGAAATCCCCATAACGACTACCAGTTTTATGCAAACTCTTCCCAAAGCAGCTCTGAAACAAAAAAAACGTTTTTTTTTTCTCTCAAATACCGTCCTTGACAAAAATAGTTACAACCAATCAGAAGTTAGAGACATACGCTGCCTGGTTAGTACAAAACTTCAAAATATACAGTGCGTACGCAAAATGAGGGATAAATTTGATGTAGGGCTCAGAAACTTTCTTGTTTTTAACTGGCCATTTTCGGAAAAGTTTCTTTCTCAATATTTTCAAATGCAAAATCGATCATTAATGTTTGACCGAGCATTTTTGTTGCACCGTACATAGGGGTGCCTTATACAGGAGCTATGATGTCAACGACGATATTTTTAACAGGAAAGTCTTCGTTTTTATTATAATTTAGTTTATATTGAATTTATGAACGCACTGTATATAAATTTCTGAAAATTTGAGCTTTCAAAAATATAAACTTTCCCCTTGAGGATCTTCAATTTGTTAAAGACTTTCGAAAAATTGACTAAGGCCAATTTTTTACCAATTTATTGCGAGTCGGATTTGTTATGGCAAAAAGAATTCAGATATGAACCGAAGAATGATGTAGAAATTTGATTTCTAATGTACAAATCATGATGATTACTTACTTTCTTTGCGCTGTCGTAATCTCGAATTTTTCGAAATATATTACAATAGTGTAAAAACATAAAAACGTCAATGTTATAATTGCAAATGGAATACAGCGTGTTCTATTTTTAAAAGGCCAGAAAAAGAGTGAATAATTAAATTAATAATTAATTAGATAAATAGATAAATAAAAGAAACATATACCTACTGAACACTGTTACACAGGGCGAACCTTAAATTTGTACATATATTTCAACTGGAACTATAATTTGCAATGTAGGTACATAAATGTAAGTATGCGATATGCATCATTTTAACATTAGAAATATTTACAAAGAAATAAATTTTTTTTATCCATTATCCACATGTACATTTTGAGATGCACAATCTATACGAAAGGTGATCTTTTATGAATGCGTACTAACGAATTGTGAATTTGTCAAGTCATATGTCAAGAAAATTATTTCCACTGTGACCGATTCTGGGTTTAAAAAATAGTACCTAACTGGTTTTAAGAAAATATTTTTATTTTAATAAAGAAAACCCTAAACGATTGAAAAATTAATTTCATCAAGTAAATTTTACTTAAATTAGTGAATATTAATAGAACAAAATTGTATATATATAAAAAAATGTGACTTCAAAAGAACATGGTTTCACTTCATTTGAGAGGATATTTTTTTATAGGTTTTCACGGGCATATTGCAAGTTTCAAAGTGTTTAGATTTTGAAATTTTATATTGGTAGGTCGCTGATTGTGTGACCCTTTTTTATTTCAGGTTTTTTTTTTTGTTTTTTTTAGCGGCCTACATAGAGCTCACCCTTAGCAAAAATCCTGGCTACGCCCATACTGGTTTTCATAAAACTACTACTCTCAACTACACCAGATTAAAAATTGGAATACATAGTAGTACAAAAAAAACAAATATTACATTTGAATGGAAAAATGCGTATTTTGAACAAATATGCTTTAAGGTGGCCATATTCCCGGCCGAGAAATAGTGAAATTTCTGGCGTTTTTAGGTACTGAAATCTTTGAAAGTAAAACGTGTAGAACAAAAGTAAGCACAAAAATAAAATCCTTGATGTTTTGTTTATTCATTGTTACCATTTAAATTTACTCAAATAAAATAATAACTAAAAAAAAGCGTTTGTAAAACATGCGTTTGCTGTTATTCTAACCCCACATTTTAAGAATTATTTTCACGTACTTATAAATAAAAGTAAACAATTTTATATGTAGGACTAAGCAAGTAAATGTTATAAGAATATTTACATGTGGAATTATATATAAAAATGTTAGTATTTTCGTAGATTTCAGTACCTAAAACCTTGATGGTTTGATCGTTTTTTGCACCTGTTTATTCGTTTTACTGCGGCGTCTTTGAAAATAACCAGATGGCATGACATAACATTCCTATTATTTGATAAGCTTTAGATTATTCAGTTATTAAATGTTTAAAATTATTTGTCTTTGTGGAAAACACTGTTTAAAGAATATGGGGCCCTTAAATAAATAAAATATTTCCATTAGTACAGACTTGCCCCAACGCTGGTCACCAAAATCATTGAACAGTTGAACACCGAATTTATAAGCCGGATAGGAATCGCAGGGGCCATAAACGTTTTTATGAAAAAGTTTTTCTTCACTGCTGTTCTTTTTTCTTCCTATTTCATATAAAAAGTTAAAATTTAAAACCACCAACATCATATAGTTGATCTACCATTCAAAATTAATCATGTTATGCGTAAATTTCATAGTGATGTCAGCAGTTCTCAAGTTTTCTATAAAAAAAAAATTTAAATATGTCCTTTTTGTATTCCTAATTTTTTCACAAAAGGAAGACTGCTAATTACATGTAGTACACAGTAGATTGTCTTATTATTTAAAAAAATATATAAGTAGACAATTATGTTCTTCCTGTTAGGGTGATCGAATTGAATTTGAAATACAATAATTTAAAACAAATAATCTATAGTTTTTCAATTTGACTTTATTTCTTTTAAATATAATTCAAATAATATACAGGGTGTCTCGCATAAGAACCGACACAGGGTAGGTGCATGTAGGGGTGTCCAAAATATTGTAATTTAACCAAACTTACAAGGTTCTCTAAATTTCGAAAAAAATTAATGTCTGCAACACTTTACCGCAGAAGAATCTTGATTTAGGTTTATTACTGGTCTTTTTTGACTATGATTTAAAGTTAATTGAAGCACTACAAGATGTTCATTGGGGATGACTCACCCCAAAAATTGTACCGAACTTTTTTCATTGACCAAACTGAAAAATGATAATATTAATTCACAACAGAAATTATTTAAAAAATTTTTTTACTCTGGTTAAATTTAAAAAAACTGGTTTTCAAGAAAAATCGTATTAACTGAAACGAAATTTTAAGTGTTTATTAGAAAATAATCGAAAAGTCAGTAGTAGGCAATGAATTTATCGTTCAAACTTGTCAGGTCAGTTAATAATAAAATTATTTTATTTCAACAATTGTTGTTGAAAAAATATCAATTATTTTTATTATTTATTTTGTTTTTTTGTTTAATACAAAATTCGCTTATTTAAAAACTACCTAGGTATGTACTTGTTTTCTTTCTGTAGAATTAGGGCAGAAGCAAAGTAAAATTTATTTGGCCAATTATCAAATTTGAAAGATAAAGCCTACTATTCACTTTTTGATTATTTTCCAATGAACACTGTTAAAATCTTGTCAGTTAATACGGTTTTTCTTGAAAACCATAAAAGTTTTTTAAAATTTAACAAGCGTAAAAAAAATTAAAATTAAATTCTGCTGTGAATTAATATTACTATTTTTCAATTTGGTCAATGAAAAAAAAGTTCGGTACAATTTTAGGGGTGAGTCATCCTCAATGAACACCTTGTAGTGGTTCAATTAACTTTAAATCATAGTCAAAGAAGACCAGTAATAAACCTAAATCATGTACCAAATTTGGTTCTTCTACGGCAAAGTGTTGCAGAGATATTAATTTTTTTCGAAATTAAGGGCTCCACTTTGGGGAATAATAATTATTCAGGGGTGCAACTTTGTATATAGGTATGTTTGGGTAAATTACAATATTTTGGACACCCCTACATATACCTGCCCTGTGTCTGTTCTTATACGGGACACCCTGTATTATGAAGGAACTCTGGAATAATATTAATTTTCTACGACTGCTAATAAAGTTTTCACATCATTCCATTTGTAGTTAGAAAAATATACTTTACTGGTTTTTGTCGTTTTCATAAAAGTTTTTTTCCACTTTCTATAATAAACGATTGAGCCTATTTGCATCCTCGAAAATAAAATGATTATTTTTTTAAATAAAAGGTTCTTGGTTGCGCTTTCTAATTTTCATTTTATAACGCTAAAATGTAATGTTTTCAAATAAAAATTGTATCAAAACTCACAAAACAATTCAGCGTTTCTAGGAACGTTGCTTATTTTGCAATAACATATTAGGATTGTTGGAAAAAAATATGATTTAGACCTGTCCAGAAACTACAAATTTTTAAGACAAAAAGTAGAAGCTACATGGAAATACATTTTGGCGTAGAACTCGGTAAAGTTACTTTACTGAGTGCTTATGTCACTTTACCGAAGTCTCCCTTCGTTTCCGATCGCGATCGGCAACGACGCACTTTCCGATTTAAAAATGATCTGAAACAAGATTTTCTAGAGCGGCCAACACAAAAACATCGTTTCAGAATACCTATCACGGCCTCTTAATATCCCCAAAGATTGATGTGCGACAAGTTTATACTGGTACCAGCAACTACCTATCTGATAAATCTAATGTTTTCCAGAGAAAGAATGTCAAGTCCCCCGTGTCTTAACGAACTCAAGCTACATTCCGCTTGGATCTAGCGAGCGATCACGCTTAAAATCGTGGCGCGATCGGCGACCGGTTGTAAGGCCCATTATGTCATTTTTTTCTGATGGCGTCCGACCTTGCCGGGATTTAAAACCAACCAGAAAAATATAGTGCAAGAATGCCGCGTCGTTAAACCTTTTCTTCGGCGGTTCTCTCATAATGGGAAATCTTAGGAATGCCTGTATAGTCTTAGGAGAACCGTTAAATTAAAGTTGTGTACATTTATTGCTTTCCTTAGTAATGGAAAAAGCAGTGGATCGGAAAAAAGTAACAGCGCTCTAACGATTCTGTGGTACATAGTTTCCGATGAGTACGAAGCAATTTGCGGCCTATTAAAATAAGTATGTAACCACTAGGCAAGAGTGAACTGCGGTATAATTTTCATTAGACAAATATTTTCAAACTGAAATAGATGGTATGCTCTCACGATACGTGGGTATGCTCCGTAGAAAATTTGCCAACCACACAGCAGATTCAGATCAATTAAAAAATATATTAAAAAAAGTGGTACTAATAGTGCTTTTTTGCAGTTTGACTGATAATATGCT